GCCCCATAATGATTTGATCATGCAAAGAGCTTTGCCAGATTGGGCTAGTGGTTGAAATGTTGGACTAGGACTGGGGAGATAGATACAAGTTCAAGTACATCTTCAGCCACAGAAGCTGATCGGGTGACTTTGGGCCAATCACTCTCTCTCAGCTTAACTTATCTCCCACAGCTTTTATTGTGGAGAAAAACAGAGGTGGGAGTGCACCTTGAGCTCCTGGAAGTAAGACAGTTTATAATTCTAACAAACAGATAAATAAATAAAATAAAGCAGGGGTGCACATTGCAGGGTATTCTGCTATGTCCCCACCAGAACACCTCCCAAAGTTGCTGTTGAAATTCTAATTTTAACCCACCAAAAAGGAGACAAGGTTTGAGCACATGAATATATCAGTTTTAGTATTTAAATTTTAATTCAGTCAAAAGTTGATGGGAAATGTCATGGCCCAGCCTACTTCCTTATCCTGGCCACATCTACCTTTTAGAGTACAACTGTCTGGTATGCTGCTGGAAGATGTTGTGTGGCTCTGAACCTGACCAAAATTGTGCCCCTTTAGTCTGAAGTGTAGGATTTATAACCTGAGTTTCCTAAGAGAATTTGTTCAATTTCTTATTCTTGCTGCATTCATTGGCATGGGACTTGAATGGCCAATGCACTTGTGGATCTCCCTGGGAACACTTTACTTCTAAAAGGCTTCCGGCTCATCATGCAATTATTCTTACTTACAGAGGATATCCAAAGTGATGGATGGAGAGGTAGTGCAGCCAACAGTATTACATGCTTCGCATTGGTAAGAAGGAACTGGTGTCGCTGTTGCGAAGAACGTCAGTACTGGCGAGGACTGTTTTTTCTGGGTGTAGTCACCTGACCTTAAAAAGTTGTACCAGGTGTTTCTGGGGAAACTACTTCCCACAGAGCAGTTCAGGATGACTCTGTCTCCTTCCTTTATGGGCAAATGATTTAAATGAAAAAGTTGGACATCCTTGGGGCAATCTGCAAAACAAGATCAGTATGTTTCTTATGCAGTACATAAACCAGAAAGCTCTCTGGCTTTTGAAAGAGGTTCTTTGCGGTGATGATTTGAGGGACCTGTTCCTCAGAAGCATTTCTGCAAAGTTGTACCCCACTGCTAATGAGCAGAAGTACTGTTCCTGAAGCAGGTTGGGTGGCAGAAGTACAGCAACCCTGATTTACCTCATTGTTGAGGTGGTACAGTGTGCAATGGGGTAAAGCACACAAAAAGATTGCAGTGCTGTGCATTGTGAGGAAATGTCAATAATCACAATTGTGCCCAATCACCCCCAAACGAAAAGTACATATTAAACACCAGCTCCAGATGTAGATTTTGTAGATCGTTCATAATTAGAGCTACTTCAGACCATTATTGTTTTGTTATTGTTAGGGAGGGAAGATACATTTTATCTTTTGGAGGAACAAAACCAGTGAGTTTCATCTTCAGAACATTAGTGGCTTTGCTTATTTTAGAATGAAAAATTTGCCACCAAAGTTCAACTGCAGGAGGAACTGCAAATCTGTATTGTATCCTTCCATACAGTGGCCTCCAGTGGACATTGTATGGACCTGAATTCTGCTGCTCTGAAGTGCCTTGTTGAGGGAGAGGAGATATATGACTAGGGCTATGCAGTGCTTCAGATGTGGTCTCCAAGAGGTGCTTTGGAGCAACAGGACACACAGGAGCTAGAATGTAATACCTTTCTACAATCCTTTTAAAAGAACTGTGTCTTTTTCTCAACATCACCCAGCAACACAATCCTGAAAAAAGAAGCAGTTGCTTTAAGGTATTGCAGACTGGGGCTGCATTCACACTCCTGCACACTCTGAAGCAGTTTTTGTAGAATGATTCCAAAGTGTTGCATCAAGAGAAAAAGAGAGAGACAAAGAAAGAGAGGAGAGAGAGAGATGCCCTTGGCTAAAGTAGGGCTACTTCAGTCTTCCCCCACTTAGTACTCCCAATAGAAGAGAATATGTGTAGCTCAAGGTTGAACTGTGGAGTCCTTGGGGTTCTCTGAGCTTGGTGGTTTCCTTGCAGGCCACTGTATATAAGCAGAGAGCAAACCCCATTCCCTTCTAGCACTGAAGACGTTACCTAGCCAGGCAACAAAACATTTGCAAGAAAACAACCAAGCTCAGAAAACCCGAAGGGCTCCACTTAGTGTTCCTCATGTGGTAGCGTTACAACTCCCAGAATTCCAATGGTCATGGTGAACAGTCCCTGGTTGGAGAGGACTGGCTGATCTAGGGCTAGACAGATGCTCAAAATACCAAGTATTTGAAAAAAAGAACACTCAGAAGTTCCAAATATATTGTTACACACTGATGGAGCAGGGCCTTCTCCAGCAGCATAATTACTACACTGGGAGAGTAAGTGATGCACTCTTAGTTGAAAGGGGTTGTCTTCTTGGTCAGCTTTTCAAGAGGTCTTTAATGCTTTTTTTAAAACAAAAATCTAGATTGTAAGTATTGGTTGTTTTAATTTTAATATCTGTAGCCTCAACTGAAAAAAAATTCACTAATTGCTAAAAAAGATTGGTACACCATAGTATATTTAATTTAAAAAGAATCAATCAACCTACTATACCATGCTGTTGAAAATTATCCACAATATCCTAACTATTAATTGTAAGCTGGGCATCTCCCGTGAGATAGTTTCTCCTGCCTGCCCTACCCCCCCCCCCATTCTGCTTCCAGAAATCAAACAGGATCTTTCATTTAAAGGCATCTGACTTGCCTGTTTTGCCTACCTAAAGTCTCAGTTTGAATCCTGATATCTTTTCTTTAAAAAATTGGAGAGCAGAGAGTGGGAAAGAGCTCTCACTGAGATCCTGCTCCTTCCATTTTCTTACACCACTTCCAATGCCAGGGTCTGTTTCTACTTACAGTGAACATTCAGGGTGACAGATGAACTTGAATTGCCAATCTCGTTATGGACCACACAACGATAGGTACCAGAATGCCTGGCTTCAATCGGCTCAAATCGCAGTTCCTTCTCGATCTTGATAATCTCTGGCGTGCTGCTTTCGTACCATTCATAGCCAGTGATAGGAGGGTTGCCAGTGGCTGAACAGCTCAAAACCACATTGTCCTTTTCTCGGATGGGTGATTGTGGCATTAGGATTTTGACCTTTGGCAGAACTGGGGAATTGAAAAGGAAATTGATTCCAGTTTTTTGGTAAGGCAGACGTTTTGCATTTTCTTTCTGCTGAAGGGGCAAGAGAATAATTTAATTTGACATGGGCAAGAAGGAGATAGCAAAGCTGAATATTATCCTGGGCTTCATTCAAGATGCTGATTTTACCCTTTAAACCATTTAACCTTGATTCTCTAATAGGTCACCTGTTTTATTAAGACCATGTCTGGTCTTCCCAATCAGTAAAAGAGAGGTGTTCAAATGGCTATGATGTACAGAAACCTGGGATTGGCACTGGGAAACAACATCCTCCCAGCAGCACTTCCAAACTGTGGAATCCCATTCTTTCTGCTTTTAGAAGGTCTCAGTGGCCAACTTTTAAAAACTGGCTTTTAAAATCCTTCTGCTTTTAAAAAAAATTAATACTATTTCAAATACGCTATAATAGACATCACTTTTTGCTCAGAAATATAATCATCATGATGATATTGAAGAAAGTTACATACAGGTAGTCCTCACTTAATGAATGCCCTGTTTAGTGACTGTTCAAATTACAACAGCACTGAAAAAGTAACTTTACAACCAGTCCTCACAGTTATGAACATTGCAGCATCCCCATGGTCACATGATTGAGATTCAGGCACTTCACAGCTGGCTTCTGACAAGCAGAGTCAATGGGGAAGCCAGCAGTAAAATTGCAAGTTGTGGTCACGTGATGTCTCACTTAACAAATTCAGGTGATTCACTTAACAACCGTGGTGGAAGTGATGTCATAAATACATCACAGTCACATGATGTCTCACTTAACTACCACATCACTTAGCTTGGCATTTTTAAAGATTTTTGTTTCATTTTTTTATGATTTTTATTTTTTTTTCTCCCCAGGGAGTTGTGTATAGGCTTTTTTTTTCTTTTTTCTCTTTTTTCCCCTCACTATATAGCTGTTTCCATAGAATTGGCTGAATTGCTTAATGAAAGTATTTACCCTTCTGTACAAAGTTAATTCTAATGTTTTTAATGTTGAATGAAATTGTATCTTTCAAAAAGGAAAGAGAAAAAAGCAGCAAGGTTGTAATTCTTCAGTAGCTAATGATGCAGTAGTGTCAGGGATTTTCCTAAATTCTGAGATGTAAATTTAAAATCTACAAGGGGCAAATATTCAACTGTGCCCATCATGACCATGTTTTTCTTTCCCATCCTGGATAAAGAAAATGCAGGAATGTACCGTATATACTTGTGAATAAATCGAGAATTTTAGGTGCCAAAATGTGCCCCCAAAATTGGGTTTGGCTTATCCACAGATGGGCTTATCCACAAGTATGTATGGTAATTTTTTTTTTAAGTACCTGTATATCCCATATTGAACTGTGGTGCTGGAGAAGACTCTTAAGAGTCCCCTGGACTGCTAGGAGGTCAAACCA